TTTTTTTTTTTTTTAAAATTCCGTGCCGAGTCAAACTAACTCATCTAAATTGAAACGGAGGGAGTAACTGCTTTTTGCTGTTCCTTAAAGAAATCAGTGTTACAGTCTCTTGCTCCGTTCCAGGAAATATAGGTGATGTTGCTCTGGGATATGACACCGTCAAAGAATATGAGGTTAGTTCACTTTGTTTTATTTTAATGGATCTATTTGAATTCTGCTCTTTGCTAAAAACATTTTGTTGTTCATTTTCTCATTAAGGAAAAGACAATCAGAGAAAGATAGTGATATAACTCTTTGATTTGCCTTCTATTATAATTGCGCGTCACTGTGTTTCTCTCTGTTAGTCAATGGAAATTGTGCCATGTCAGAATTCATAGCCAATTATGAATCAAATCAATAGCGGATTAACAGTCTGTTTATTTGACAGTATTTAGCTGTAGCTCTTTGCTAACAAAGACCACGCCTCTAGCCTATAATGCCTAACTTAAACCTTCCATATTTTGGACTGATGTGAAGTACATTGAAGGACATTTAGACTGGCAAAACCCAACCATATGCCTTATTTATTCTTACTTATGTGTTTGCTTCTATTTAATTAAAGAATGTCTCATTTTGGATCCGTAAAAGAAAGTGATTTATGAAGGTTTTCAACTACGACCTATAATGCATTAACGAATTGAACTAGATTGGACAGTTAGATTATTTCACTTTGTATCAAATCAACTTTTGACAAGTTGCATTAATACGTTTTTGTGCTTTTAAATTTATTAATGTCCATGTGAGTAAGAGTTTTGAACGTAGTATTGTCCCATTTTTGCTTCAAGCTTTCTATGGAATGAGTTATTTGTACAGTGAAATCTTCACTAGTAACTTTTGCAGAATGATACAACTTCTTTCGGAGCCCTACTTGGAAGGGTAGCTAACCGGATTGGTGGTGCTCAATTTACTTTGAACGGAACCCTTTATAAGCTTATTGCCAATGATGGCGCAAACACGCTGCACGGTATCTTCGTTACATTTCCTTTTAACTTTGCTTTTTCTTCCACTTTCAGCTCCATATACCCAAATTTCCTTCCTCTTATGTAAGAACTTCGAAAATATAGGTGGCCCAAAAGGATTTAGCCGTGTTGTTTGGAATGTTAACAAATATGAGCAAGATGGTCCCTATCCTCACATTACTTTAACCTACCACAGTACTGATGGGGAAGAAGGTGAATCTGCTTTTTTATTCCACAAGACAATTACAGTTATTAATTTCCTTTTGAAGATACATTATGAATTGAATAAAAATCCGTTGTTTCCTTTTGTAGGATTTCCTGGTGATGTTCTTGCCTCTGTTACCTATGCATTGGAAGATCCTTACAAGCTTAGTGTGGTAATGAAGGCAAAAGCACTAAACAAGGCCACTCCAGTTAACTTAGCTCAACACACTTATTGGAACATTGGTGGACACAACAGTGGAGATATCTTGTCCAACGTTGTTCAAATCTTTGCGTCACACATCACTCCAGTAGACGAACATCTCATTCCTACAGGTGAAATTTCTCCCGTCAAGAACACGCCCTATGATTTCCTTAAACCCCGTGAAGTGGGGAACCAGATCAGTAAACTCCCAAGTGGATATGACATCAACTATGCACTCGACAGCACTGTAGAAATGAAGCCCGTGGCAATAGTTTATGATAAGAAGTCAGGAAGAGTGATGGATTTACAAGCGTCTGCGCCTGGTGTGCAATTCTACACTGCAAACTCCCTTATTCAGAAGGGGAAAGGTGGATATGTATATCAGCCTCATGCAGCATTGTGCTTCGAGACTCAAGGGTTCCCTGATGCTGTGAACCACCCAAATTTCCCTTCAACAATTGTGACTCCAGGAAAGGCCTACGTTCACAAAATGCTGTATACTTTCTCAATCATGAAATACTGGAATTCTTATTAATTTTTTTCAACATCGCTTGTGTCTTTTGTATCTTTTGCATAAATTGATATTTCTGTCAAGGTTATATGTTCTTGCTGACGAATAAAACACCTGATATTTAGACTTAATACAGTTATGTTTTGATGGAGTTTTCAAAGAACAGTTTTTAGACATGTTTAGTGAGTGTTTAGACGTGGATTCACTGTTTTTGGAGTGGATAGTTTTGCTGTTGCATTTTGCCCTTTCTGGAACAAATCAGAACTTGTTTTTATTTAATAGTCTCCATTTACTGTTCTGATCACATTGCTCCATAAAAATGGTTTTGCAGTTTCATAGGTAGAATGTTTTACCAAAGATATGATGTTGGCATTAATTTTGCTCAACCCTTCTAAACATTATACATTACGCAAGAACAATTGATGAATACAACAACAACATACCCAGTAATATCCCACACTGTGGGGTCTGGGGAGGGTAGTATGTTCGTAGACCTTAACCCTACCTTGTGAGGATATAGAGGTTGTTTCCAATAGACCCTCGGTTTAGAAAAGTATAAGCACCACAATAATAAAAATATAGACAAGAAGGGACAGTACCAAGAAGCCATATAAAAGCAGAATAAAAACAACCAGATAGTAAGGTGATCAACAATGAAAGAAAATAACGGTTGGTCATAAAAACTTACTACCAACAAAAAGCGAGACTACGTGCCAATACTACTGTTATGAACACTTTAGACTACCTACTCTACTAACCTAATCCTCGACCTCCATACCTTCCTATCAATAGTTATGTCGGTCAGCTGAAGTTACGTCATGCCTTGCCTAATCACCTCTCCCCACCTCTTCTTTGGCATACCTCTACCTCTATGTAGGCCCTCCAATGTCAACCTCTCACACCTCCTCACCAGGGCGTCTGTGCTCCTCCTCCTCACATGACCAAACCACATAAGTCGTGCTTCCCGCATCTTGTCCTCAATAGGGGCCACACCCACCTTGTCGCGAATAACCTCATTTATGATCCTATCTAACCTGGTGTACCCGCACATCCATCTCAACATACTCATCTCTGCTACCTTCATCTTCTGTACATGAGCGATCTTGACTGGCCAACACTCAGCCCGATACAACATTGTTGGTCTGACTACCACTCTGTAGAACTTACCCTTAAGTTTCAGTGGCACCTTCTTGTCACACAAAACACCGGAAGCGAGTCTCCATTTCATCCATTCCGCCCCAATACGATGTGTGACATCTTCATCAATCTCCCCATCCCCCTAAATAATAGACCCAAGGTACTTAGAACTTTCTCTCCTAGGGATGACCTGCGAGTCCAGCCTCACCTCCCCTTCCCCCCTTGAATCTCGTCACTGAACTTATACTCTAAGTATTCTGTCTTGGTACTGCTCAACTTGAAACCTTTAGATTCCAAGGTCTTCCTCCATACTTCTAATTGCGCGTTCACACCGTCTCGCGTCTTGTCAATCAATACAATATCATCTGCAGATAGTATGCACCACGGTACCTCCCCTTGGATGTGGCACGTCAGTACATCCTTCACTAGAATAAACAAAAAAGGGCTGAGTGCCGACCCCTGATGCAACCTCATTATTACCGGAAAATGGTCCGAGTCCCCACCCACCGTCCTCACTCAAGTCTTTACTCCATCATACATGTCCTTAATCAACCTAACGTAGGCAACATGTACACCTCTAGCCTCCAAACATCTTCATAAAACTGTCACGACCCCAAATTTCCTCCGTAGGATGTCGTGATGGCACCTAGTCTCTAAGACTAGGTAAGCCTATCAATGAGGAATAATAATAAATATCTGAAATAAATAAACTACAATTCAAACAATTTCAACTCCCAAAACCCGGTAGAAATAAGTCACAAGCTTCTAAGAATTTATTCTTAATGTCTCTATATGTCAAGGTCTAGATAAAATATAAGGAAGCAACATAAAATGATAGAAGGGGACTCCGGAGTCTGCGGACGCTGGCAGATATACCTCGAAGTCTCCGTGCGCAGGTAACTCAATAATGTCTAGGCTGGTAAAATGTACCTGGATCTGCACAAAAAGATGTGCAGAAGCATAGTATGAGTACACCACAGCGGTACCCAGTAAGTGCCAAGCCTAACCTCGGTAGAGTAGTGACGAGGTCAGGTGAGGCCCTACTGGAATATAATAATGTCATGGTAAAATATTTATCAATGTAGTAAAATAAAATGACATCGAAAATGAATCAAATAGTATGTCACATTTAATGACACCAAATAATTGCAAATAATATCTCGTGGAAATCAAAACAGAATTTCCTTCAACTTTATGAAAATCACAATAATAATCAAAGGCAACTA